CTCGAGATGGCGCCTAACGCTTACCTCTAGTGCCAAATTGGTTACGTAATTTATTTAGTAATTAGAATTAAACTAGCCCGATAGATTTTCGGCATTCCGTTGGTATGTAGCTATACCTACATACTTCTTAAGATTAGTAAAATTCATGCAGTTCTTTTATGTACAGTACTATTACCATAAATTTATCTCTCAAAGTATTTGCTTTTCCTCCTAATAAACCTGTGTTTCGGTTTTTCTCTGTTTCTGCATTGCAGTAGTTATGCCCCATTTTGCCATTTTTGCACACATTACGTCTGGAAAAAACATGCTAAACGAGTCTTTATTCTTGTCTTACTGTGTGCTTGATCAAATTCGCAATGGATAAATTGAAATATTTTTTATATTTGATTTATTAGTAATTTTTACTAAATTATTTGTAAATTTGTTAACAGTTCTAAATATATTGCTTTGTATTGTTTATTTATTATTTAGCTTATCAAGAAGATTAATTTCTTCATTCCCAAGAAAACATTTAACAGAAATAAAGTGAACATCCAAAGTAAGCAAATTTTTATGCTTTTTTAAATATCAGAGTTATAGTATTATTGGTTTCCATTAATGTTACTGACTAAAGTGATGACAGCATTATGATAATATTATCAATACAGCACTTAGCATTTGATTTTAGAGATGGTAACAAAAATAGCAATGGATCATATCTATCTTTTTCGATTTACTTCTGTTTTAGTGTAGACATACATACATGTCTTCATACTCATAATCCAGAAAGGGTGAGCAGCAGCCAGAAGGAGACTACAATCTTATAAACTATCAATTCAGCAACTTTCCCCACATATTCCTGTCCAGACACACCACTTTTGCTTCAGACATACTCACGCCTCTTCCAGCACACATCCTCACATTCTGTCTGACTCATTCTTTCAGATACTCATCCACTTGTTGTAAGATTTTCTCAGCTTACCCCTACTCTGCTTCCCATCTACCTTTCCTATGTATACTCTCTTCAATAGTTTTTTTTCTTTCATTTGCTTGTTTTAATACATTTAGAACACTACTAGCACTGGAAAGAGTTGATTTTGAAAGATTCTACCTGAGGAAGATCCTAGAAGGGGACTGAAAAACATCAGTAATGTAACAGTTTTCAAACCACATGCAAAAGCATAGTAAGGTTTGTAGATTTTACTTACGCACAAGAATTATTTTCAGACAATTTTGTAATGACTGGGAAGAAAAATAAATGATGGATGCAATCTTACACCTTATCAAACACTTGCCCTCTGCCATAAATTGATGATGTAATATGTAAATAGTCCTAATTTTAGAAAATAGCATGTTTTATTTTTGGAAGAATCAACATATTAAGCTACTGCCTTGTTTTTACAGGAAAAATAACAAACACTTACAACTATATAACTTCTAATTATACTGTAATATACTTAAATTTGAATATTGAAAAATCAGTCCATGCGTGACAATGTGCATTTCAGCTACTTTAAGTCGTACGAATGTGCAATGGTAGAAGTTTCCACTTTTAACAAGGATATCTATTATAAAAATGATTTGGGTGTAAAAGAGAAAAATGGATATAAAATGTAAATTAATTTATTTAAAATGTAATTTGTCATATTTCTGTTAGGGTTTTTGAATGATAAATATTTGATTTTATTGTATATTAGTTTTATTTATTTTTCATAAAGGACAATATTAATAGAAATAATGATATACAGGTAGAATTTCTATTTAATATTAATTAAATTTATGTATCAGTGTGTATAAATTTATGTGCTCATCTAGGACAGCACAATATCAAAAATACATGATGCACAACTTCAAAGCCATAAATTCTTTTTAACATATGTTCATTGAGCACTTAATAAGCATTGGACTCTGAAACCAATAAGCAAAATTTGTATACAGATGTTAAGGATTGAGAAAAGATTTTTAAACAAAATTTAGTTCAAAAACTTCCACTAGGAGTATTTTACAGGAAAATACACGAAGCAAACACAATGAAAATGCAGTTATTTGTTTTTCAAGGGACATGGTTTTTATTATTGTAAGAAATATTACTGGCTTACAGAGGTTGTGTGCAATGTATTTTTGGTATCATGCTGTGGGCTTGATCAAGCTCTCAATGGATAAATTGAAATATTTTTTTATATTTGATTTATTAGTATTTTTTACTAAATCATTTGTAAATCTATTAACAATTTTAAATATATTGCTTTGTATTGTTTATTTATTATTTAGCTTATCAAGAAGATTAATTTCTTCATTCCCAAGAAAACATTTAACAGAAATAAAGTGAACATCCAAAGTAAGCAAATTTTTATTTGGTAAATGCTTTTTTAAATATCAGTTATAGTTGATTTGTTTATCAGTTATAGTGTTATTGGTTTCCATTAATGTTACTGACTAAAGTGATGACAGTATTATGATAATATTATCAATACTGCACTTAGCATTTGATTTTAGAGATGGTAACAAAAATAGCAACAGATCATATCTATCTTTTTCAATGTACTTCTTTTCAATGTACTTCTTTTTAATGTAGACATACATACATATTTTCATACTCATAATCCAGAAAGGGTGAGCAGCAGCCAGAAAGAGACTACAATCTTATAAACTATCAATTCAGCAACTTTCTCCACATATTCCTGTCCAGACACACCACCATTGCTTCAGACATAGTCACGCCTCTTCTAGCACACATCCTCACATTCTATCTGACTCATCCACTTGTTCTAAGATTTTCTCAGCTTACCCCTACTCGGCTTCCCATCCACCTTTCTTATGTATACTCTCTTCAATAGTTTTTTTTTCATTTGCTTGTTTTAATACATTTAGAACACTACTAGCACTGGAAAGAGTTGATTTTGAAAGATTCTACCTGAGGAAGATCCTAGAAGGGGACTGAAAAACATCAGTAATGTAACAGTTTCCAAACCACATGCAAAAGTATAGTAAGGTTTATAAATTTTACTTATGCACAAGAATTATTTTCAGACAACTTTGTAATGACTGGGAAGAAAAATAAATGATGGATGCAATTTTACACCCCATCAAACACTTGCCTTCTGCCATAAATCGATGATGTAATACTTGAATAGTCTTAATTTTAGAAAATAGCATGTTTTATTTCTGGAAGAATCAACACATTAAGCTACTGCATTGTTTTTACAAGAAAAATAACAAACACTTACAACTATATAACTTCTAATTATACTGTAATATACTTAAATTTGAATATTGAAACATCAGTCCATGCGTGACAATGTGCATTTCTGCTACTTTAAGTCGTACGAATGTGCAATGGTAGAAGCTTCAACTTTTAACAAGGATATCCATTATAAAAGTGATTTGGGTGTAAAAGAGAAAAATGTACGTAAAATGTAAATTAATTTATGTAAAATTTAATTTATCATATTTCTGTTAGGGTTTTTGAATGACAAATATTCCATTTTATTGTATATTAGTTTTATTTATTTTTCGTAAAGGACAATATTAATAGAAATAGTGATATGCAGGTAGAATTTCTATTTAATATTAATTAAATTTATGTATCAGTGTGTGTATGTGCTCATCTAGGACAGCACAATATCAAAAATACATGGCGCACAACTTCTAAGCCGTAAATTCTTTTTAACAGGTGTTCATTGAGCACTTTATAAACACTGGACTCAGTGGACTTTGAAACCAATAAGCAAAATTTTTATACAGATGTTAAGGATGCAGAAAAGATTTTTAAACAAAATTTGGTTCAAAAACTTCCACTAAAAGTACTTTATAAGAAAATATACAAAGCAAACACAATGAAAATGCAGTTATTTGTTCTTCAAGGGACATGCTTTTTATTATTGTAAGAAATATTGCTGGCTTAGAGGTTGTGTGCAATGTATTTTTGATATCATGCTATGGTAGATCAGCACTCATGCATTACTAATACATACATTTAATTGAAATTAAATAGAAATTTAATTTATAGACCATATAGTACATTTATGGTTATAGTTGGGTAGGTATACTTTTTGTCTATTGTCTGAGAGGTGTTTTGTTATCTTTGCCCTGCAGATGGTCAAATGTCTCACTACTGACTCTTGCCATTAGAGCTTGATTTGTGCTACCAAGCCATNTTCTAATTGTTTTCATGGCTACTTTGAATGCTCTTTCAACAATAATCCATTTAATGGTTAAATTTTACAATTGGGACCCTTCTTTTGCCTCCAAAAGCTCATTTTAGAATTATAGATTACTCCATCACGATACTATCGATAGTGCGGGCGCTGCCATCTTTCTTTCACCGTTGTTTATAAATTCCTACAAACAGCAGCGCACTCCCGTTGCAGAGCGACTGCTATTAACGAACGCATCCAAAAACTGTTACCAGTTGATAATGCTCATGCTGAGATCATTATATAGGATGAATAATTCTCCGGTAAAATATTTACTGAAATAATAAATAAGTATGAAAACAATCTATGAAAAAACTATGAACCTATAAGTATGAACCTATGAAAAAGAATGAATAATAAATCCGATTTAAATAAGGATTTAACATTATGTTTTTTAATTTTTGAAACCTAAACCCCCTTTTCTCACCAGTTCTTTGTTTCGTATAACACGGATTCGCATAACACGGCAATTGTTTGGAACGTAACTCCCGTGTTATACGGAAGTTACCTGTATTCTATTTTTCTGAATGAGCCAGACTAAGTGATCAAAGTATATATTTTTCTTTTCTGAACAAGGGGCTGAAATAACAAGATCGCACACTTTTTAGTTGGACTAACTTTTCTGCAAGGGTTAAATTGAAGTGCATATGCTGTAGAATAAAGATATGTAAATGCAGAATTTTATTGCTCCCTTTCTCCNAATGCAGTTATTTGTTTTTCAAGGGACATGCTTTTTATTATTGTAAGAAATATTGCTGGCTTAGAGGTTGTGTGCAATGTATTTTTGATATCATGCTATGGTAGATCAGCACTCATGCATTACTAATACATACATTTAATTGAAATTAAATAGAAATTTAATTTATAGACCATATAGTACATTTATGGTTATAGTTGGGTAGGTATACTTTTTGTCTATTGTCTGAGAGGTGTTTTGTTATCTTTGCCCTGCAGATGGTCAAATGTCTCACTACTGACTCTTGCCATTAGAGCTTGATTTGTGCTACCAAGCCATTTACAATTCAGTCAAATATCAATTGTGTGCAATGCATTAGATCAAAACTAGTAAATAAGTACATCGGACACAATTAATGAATGGATTCTGAACAGTGCATGAGCAAACTGTGAATGACCTGGTAGGCATGGATTGGACCTAAAGTTAGTCAAAACATATTTCTAAGTTAATGATGGTGATTGTTATAGTCTGGGTTATGCATTACATCAAATTTGATTTTGTGACAAGTTTACTTGTTAGGCAAATGAAGAATTAAACATTTTCAAGGGTGTCTTCTTCTCTTTTTAGTTGAATAGAGTCTGCAAAACAGAAAAGTATTGATATACCATGATTATGACATATGAAACTCATTATTGAATTTAAATTTTGTGTATAAAATCTGTATAACAATTACTAATGTAAGCAAAACCTATTCTAAACTATATTAATGTGTAAATACATTCTAGCCATATCCTATTGTAACGATTGCTTTGATTGAGTGATTACTAGACTCATTTGAATCGGTAGGACTGCTACTAGAAACTCATGCACCTTATTGCATTCAGACTGTATCTTATGTTTACTGCAATATGAATAATATCATTATGTTTTTTTAATTTCAGTTAACAAGGATGAACAGAATAAAGAACATCACATTTCAAAAAGAACAAAGCAATATAAACATGAGACCAACAGGAAGAGGTTTCGTTTTTCAGTTAAAAACTTGAATAAAATACAATGTAATATTAAAAAGAAGTACTTCAAGATAATGTGTGCATTTCATTTTAAAGAAAAGTTCACATGTAATTTATGTACCCAGCCTTTCACAAATTACAAAGTATTAAGAGCCCATCTGTTCTTTCATATTGGAAACAAACCATTTCAATGCACAACCTGCAATCAGATGTTTTACTGGGAATTTGTTTTACGAAGACACAACAAAGAACACTACAATAAAATGCAAATGTTACAAAAATCATTGGAAGCCAGAAACACAAGAATATTTGAGTCGTCAAAGTATCTTATAGAGCAATGGAAGCCCTGTGAATGTGAGATTTGTGGTAAGCGTGTTATGTCACTGAGCCGATTAGAGAAGCACTATAAAACACATTCATCTTATATTTGTAGCATATGTAAAAAACAATTTAAACTTATATCTCGTTTGAGAGATCATCTGGTAGTGCATAGTGAAGATCGCTCGTTCAAATGCAACATTTGTAATAAGGGTTTTAAAACGAAAAAAAATTTAAAAGTTCATGCTGAAACTCATAGCGATGAATATAAATATTTCTGTAGTTTATGTATTAGAGGTTTTGAAACAAAACAGGATTTTAAAACTCATATTGAGGCTCATGGTGACAAATATAAGTATTCTTGTGATATATGTGGCAGGAGTTTTAAAACGAAACACTATTTGTCAAATCATAAACTCATTCACCACAATAGAAGTTATTTTTGTGAGGTATGTAATACAAGTTTTAAAACACAGCAAGGTTTAAAGACTCATGTCAAAATACACAGCGACGAATATAAATATACTTGTCAGATCTGTGACAGGAGTTTCAAAACAACGAGCGGTTTAAATGTTCATAAGTTAGTACATACCAAAGAACGTAAGCAGTGTTGTGAAATATGTGGTCAAACTTTTAAACATAAAAGTGCTTTAAAAAGACATCGCCTTATTCAACATAAAGTGTAGGCAAGTAAAAAGATTTTGTCAAAAACTATTTGAAAACTAAAGTTATATTGAGAAGTTCATTCTGTAAAAAGGAATTGAAAAATTAACACAAATTAAATTGTTTACCAGAAAACTCGCCTTGACATAAGACTATTTTATTGTGAGATATATACATTCTACACTAAAAAACTTCATGAAACTACTTATGATGAGTACAGTTTTTTTTATATTTGTGAATCATAATAAGTGTATTTATCTTAAAACTATCTTCTTAAGGCATCAAGGTATTCATGTAACCAAACAACATTCTTGCTACTAATGTAAAAACAAATTATCAAACAGAAAGTAGACTGACTAAAATAAAATTGCATGATAACATTTAAAATGTTATTGTTTAAAACTGCACACCAAGCAATTTACCTTATCAATATATTACAAGCAACAAACTTATAGAAGAATTGAAGATACAGTAGAGCATCAATTATCCGACCCCCCGATTAACCGTCACTTTGGTTAACCGACCGTTTTAGTCGGCAAATGTCAAATGTCCGCTAGTGATGTGGCACTACAATATTTGGCTATGTCTTAGCTATTTTAATATTATTTTTGTTAAATTTTTGCGTGTTTTAGCTGGCAAATAGTCGAGCCGGACCATTGAAGGGAGGCCCGTATTTAAACGAGGCTTAATTTGCTAATTATGAGTGGTTTTGTTTCGTGAGCAATAAAATAACTTAAAAATAATTTTTAACGATACAATAGCGACGATTATTATTTAAAACAAGAATTTTATTAGGCTTAACATCGATGAAAATTCAACGCGAAGTTGGTTAATAGCGATATACTAATATACTATAGTAATAATGTATTTTTTTCATTCTTTTCATGCAGTTCTATACACTACGTAGAAGAGATTTCGCTGACGTTGCGTCTGAAAAATGCATTGTAAGAATAACTTGTATCAAAATTTAAACGTATTCAGTTATTTTGATGATAAATCATAAATACGTTTGTAAAATTAATTTTTTTAATAAAATAAACTGTTTAGACATTTCAGAATTGTTCATATCTTCGTCATTGCCGTGTTTCAGTATTAAACTTTTAAAAAATTATTAGCAAGGAAATTAGAAAGTAAATTTTCTATTACATTTTTACAAAGATTTCTTTACGCATTTAATATTCGAAAGTAAACAATGCAATAGAACTAACGCGTCGATATATCTTGTTTAGTATGGAAAATTCGTACTGCACATTGTGCAACCATCTACCTTATTATTAGAGTGGACAAGGCCGTTACCGAAGAGAACCCGTAAATAATCTAGATTAGTTATTTCCTCGAGTCGACATGTCTGTAAACGCCGAGTCTATTACAAATGGAACAGTCGACTTCCCCTATACAGCCAAAGGGTGTTGTGTTTTTAACATGTACTTTCTATAGCTTGTTTTTATAGCTTCTATGCCAAAGCGAACTCTTCCATTTTTTTCGATGTGTGTGTATGTATTGATTGATTGGTTTTAGATGAAACTGGCACGCAACAAGAGGGCTATCTGCCAATCGGGGAATGTGCCTTCCTGGAGATCTTTTAATTAAGCGAAACTGGATTCAATTCGGACTTTATCGACTTGACGTAAACCCGGTAAAGTTCACGGAGCACTAAGCTCGAACCCGGTACAAGAACCAGTATTTAGTGGGATCGATCCGCGTGGCCACTGGGTGTATATTTGTATGGGTGTAATTTGGGAACGACCCACTGGTGGATTCTATCTGGAAAGTTTTTTGCAGGAGTCTCGACCAGGATAATGGACTAATATAAGTAGATTTCTGTCGGCCAATTAAGATGATGTGTGTTTATGCACTCGAAAGTTTTCAAGATAAATTGTTATATTCGTTTTTAATTCTCACCATAAATTTTAGTACAACTTATAGAGAAATTTTACATAAAAATATTCGATACCCA